TGGCGCTAAATTTTCTCACTTAACTGGAGATGAAAGAACGTATTTAACTGATTCATTTAAGGTAAAACATAAAGCTAGAGTCTCAAAGGTTCTTAAGTTAGATTCACTCCCTAACTTGAGATGAGAGAACGTATATAAAAACTCTCCAGTTACATTATGAAAAATATCATCAGAACTTTATCGAAGCTCACACCTTTCTCGAGCCAATTAGATCCGTTCTTTCAACATACATACATACATACATACATACATACATACATACATACATACATACATACATACATACACACATACATACATACATACATACATACTCTACCAGTCGTGTACTGTTCCAACATCAAGTATTTTTCCGAGGAACAACTAGACAAGGCACAAAATGTCGCTGTCACATACTGAGTCCGTAGCCTTTATGCTTCCATCAACTGATTATTATCCCATCAGCCTCGGTTCGTTGGCTCATACGCGATCAGGTAACTCGAGCTCAAGGGTTCGAGTCCTGAGCCTGGTGAAGCTAATGAACTAACACTGAACGAGGCCTTATACCTATCAGTTGTCTGTGCTATTAGAAAAAAAACGATGATGTGTGTGATTTATTGTAGAGTAATAGTGGATTCCATAAATATGACTGCAAGTAGATACAGTACTCGGCCATATTCATTTCCCCAACTGTAGAAAAAGGTGTCCTCTTTTTCATGCGGTGTTGGTGAGAGAGAGAGAGAGAGAGAGAGAGAGAGAGAGAGAGAGCCCTGTGTGACTGGCTGAGAACCGCTCCACACCAATTTCCTTCTCCCGGTCGCCATATTTCCCCTGGACGTTGTGGATTCACCTTTTTTTTTTCCTTGCTCTCATTTTTTCCCTTTCCTCTTTGCTCTACACAATTTCTGAAAGGAAATCCAATTTACAGAGATTATTGACTTATGTTATAGTACTTTAGCCGGCGTTTGACTGAGATTAAAGGCCTCTCTCTCTCTCTCTCTCTCTCTTTCTTGCACTTTTTCTGCCACAAAAAGATCGCAGAAAATATTCCAGTCATATTGACTTCCCAACCTGACTCTCACACCCCCCATCTCTCTCTCTCTCTCTCTCTTGTTTGGCATATTCCATGAACGATTTTATTTACATACATACATACATACATACATACATACATACATACATACATACATACATACACTGACCAAGAAATGTGGACACTTAATATATTGATAGTTACTTACATTGCCAAGGCTTAATGAATATATATTGTATAATAATTCCCACCTTACAGACAGCCTTACTAAAACCAGTGAGTAAAATAAAGTAAAAGTATCACAGTACAAATGAAATTATTCCACAAAATAAACTGAAATAAATCTAATTATCTTTACAAGAACTGAAGGAACAGTTAAAGCATAAAAAATTATAGAAAATAAAATACAGAACAGTACAGGACTATGATTTTATAATCTCCATTAAGAGGAAAATGTAGTACAGTACAGCACAGTACAGTTTTATGCTCTTTTATCATGTCTTTTAGTGTTCTCTTTTGTGTTTCAGTCAAGCAAGTTGCCTTCTCTCTTGAAAAGAAGCTTTACAACCAACACTCGCGCTTCAGCATTCAAATATGGCGCCACGGATCAAGCTGATTTGTTTACATTTATCATGCCCAGGCCTACCAACCCTCCCGAGTTGCGGCATTGCGGTTACTAAATGGTAACCAGAATGTACAAGTTGCTAATGGAGTTTGACGAAACCATTTGTCAGGGTACTAAAACTCAACCCGACATTCGGAATTGCTCTTCGGACTTGCTGTCCAGAATGTTTAAAAAAAATGGCCGGAAGACTTATCCCGAAATGTTCCAATAACTATTCAGATCACTAAATAGTAACCCGAACCAATCACTTATATTCAGTTTAAAAAAATAATTACGGCTCGGAGGGCGCTTTCGGGATAATCATAAGTAACCCGAATTTAAAAAAAATGGCCATATGCTAAATAAAATCGTTTATCGGTATTTAAATGAAATGTTACAAGTGAAGGGGTTAGGGGAGAGAGTTTATTAGGAACCTTTGAGAATCCATCTTTGTCTTATCATTAGTGAGTTTAGAGATCTATTCTGACATTACCAATGATCCCTTATCCGTCCCTGTGTTATAGTTCTTTACTAGCGTCTGTGTGTCTGTCTGTCGTCCTCTAATTATTAAATCCTGGACTCCTCTTTTTCCTCAATTGGTTTTAAATTTGATTTGGTGATTCATAACTAGACCTGCATTCTTCCCCCTGATCCTGCAGCAAATGAGTTTAACGGCCAAAATGGCCGACTACTTCCAAAATGGCCGACCAATTCCAAGGTGGCCGACCACTTCCAAGATTGCCGGCCACTTCCAAGATGGCTGACCACCAATTTTCGAGAAGGACCAATTCAGTGGTGAACTTAAGTAATTGTCTGAGTTTACAAGAGGCAAGAGCTCACCTAGTCTTACACAGACTCACTAATGGTCGGCGCTCTGGTTGATGAGGGAGAAAAAGTTTTAATGACGTATTGTTTTTCTGGTCTAAGATCATCGTGAACGCGCACGCACAGAGGCGCGTGTGTGTGTGTGTGTCTTGACTGCCACTACAGGTGTTAGGCCGCCATCACATTTGTACAGGGAGTGTAACTTGTGCACATGTCACCAATCCCCCCCCCCCCACCCCTCTCCCCCTCCATGTTCTAGTGAGGTGTTAAAGGATGTTCTTCCTTGCAGTGTGAGGTCTTGGCCTATATCCACATCCTCCTCAACCTTGTACACTTCATCACCACCTCATGTCTCTTGTACTACAATCAACATCAAAAAGAGAGAACAAGAAAAGGCCCATTATAGATTATAATACAAAGAAAGAACCTTATATATTATTATTTTTCCCTCTCTCTTTTTACGTCTGTGTAGAAGTTTTTCCTGCAGCAAACAGTATTTAACTGATCAGAAAATGCTTACATGTAAAGTAAGCAAAGTAAATGTCGCTAGGTGTTCAAAACTTTTGTCTTTCGACAGAAAATAGAACAAACATATTGTAAATACATTAACCTACTTTAGTACTGATTAGTGTTAAACAGCGATATAAGGATCTCGATGTAATGTATTCGGGAGGTCTCGCCACGGTGGACTTTAGATACTCCTTCAAAATCAAAATCGTTTTCTTTCAGGGTTTGTTTATATGCACGTCACGAATTACAGTGACTAATTCGTATATATTTAAATTTAATTTAAACTAGTAGGAATGTGGAGTCTTGATCACCTAGTAACATTGGATAATAAATTTTAAGTCCCTTAACATTATATGTTGACCTTCATGGACGACTTTTTATATTATTATTACATAATAGCATTCGGTGGCAATGCACGACTCAGCAGCATGGTTACCAGATTGGGTGAAAAGTAGCTGATTTGGCTACCTTTTTGGGGTGTACGCTACTAAAATTAGAGATCCGCTACTTGCTACTTTTTGGGCTACTTCAAATTACATGGGCTTATTTTCAGATAATTGAGCTACTTCTATTTTGTACTCTTGCTAAAACACTAAAGAAAGTAAAGAACCTATCACCAAATATTTGTCTAAGTCACACACGCCCTCCATTCTCAGAGCTCCCACTTGAACTTGCTGGTCAGTCTAAGATACTGAAATTGAGTCAGTGGCGTCAAGCCTTAACTATTGATTGGGATCATATTTTTTAAGGAAATATACCAACTTCTGGATCGCTCTTTTGGACGCAAGCTATCACAGTAAAAATGCTGCGGGAGAGCTTGTGTTTAAAGAGCTTGCAGAATTTGCACGAAAAGTTTGTGGGGTACGTGATGTTTGGTTCACACTCAGGATGGGATGGAGAAAGGAAACTCACAATATGCTCTCTGTATACATATTGTATTGGATGTACAGTGCAGCTTGGTGCTGGGAAGTGGCAGCGTGGTTACAAGCGTGATGTAGAGAGAGCTGGTTGGTGAGGGTTCTCAGAGGAGGATCAGCTTGTGGGTCACCATGCTCGCCGGCGGGAACGAGGACCACCAGGCAGCGGCGGAGGAGGTGGTGTTGCTTGCTGCGGCTGTAGCTAGAAGAAGAGAGCAGTGATGATGATGATGATAATGGAGATAAAATGGCAATGACTTGCCATGGGAAGGGAGAGAAAAGGTAAGGTAGAAGGTGACTGCTCTCTACCTAGGTAAGCTCTCTACCTAGGTAAGGTAGAGAGCAGTCACCACGAGGTCAGGTCTTATATAGCGGAGGTAGGCGTGGCTTAATAGTTGACCTCCGTCATGCAAGGCGGGCCTGGTTGACCTAGACCACGAGGCATACACTGGGGAATTCGAGGGGTCGGCTACTCAGCGACCTACAGCGTTTGTAGGGGAGGTATCCACTACAAGTTTACAGCTAGCCAATATTTAACGGGTAGTTGAACGGGTATTTTCGAGTTACATCAGTTAAAACTAAATTGAGGAACAGGATGGGGCTAGAGTTCTTAACGCCAATATTAAGAATAAAAACAAGCCTTAAACTAAATAGAACTTGTTGATCGTCATTTGATCCTCTAATGTCCACCCTGAACTATGACTCATCAATCTATAGAGAAGAGGAAGTAGATGCAGAAGAGTAAGACCTTCTGAACAGTGTAGATCTATTAAGTAGAAACTTCAATCTCCCTAAAAGTGATGTGTGTTTACAAAAGATTTATAGTTGCGTTAATTTAAGTAAGATTAAAAAGAAGAAAAGTTATGTTAATTTAACTGAAACAAGAAACAAGAAGAAAGCTCTTTTTGTTAGAACAAAAAGGAACAAGAGCAACAAATAAGTGCCAAGTTAAAGCTATAAGTTGTCAGTTATATACCTTTACAGGTAGTATATCTATATCTATGTACATATTTTTTTATCTATGTATCTCTCTCTCTCGCTCTCTCTCTTTTTCTCTCTCTTTAGATCCGCTACTTTTAAGGCCTGTTTCCGCTACTTTTGATCACGACTCACAAGTATCTGGCAACACTGCTTAGCCGCAGAAGAGTGAAGACTACTGAGGGTTCCCAGCTGAAACTAATTTAAAGGTTATTCGTAAACCATTCAGTGGTGTTAAGGTTAGTTTATAACAATAGCAAAATGCCCGTTGATTGTTCTCGACTACAAGTTATTCAGAAGCATTTGGAAAGCAATCAGAAGGTTAGTTGGTAGAAATAATTTTATCAGGCCTTTCAGATAACTACCGCTAGGTAGAAGCACCTCAAACTGGCTATCCTCATCCCTCAATGTCATTCGATAAAAACTCATTTTACCCATAAGTTTAACATAAAGAATAATCCAGTAAGTCTTGTGCACAGAGTGATAATTAGAACTTCTTAATCTCAAAATATATACGAGGGTCAGTGACGTGAATAGTGGGAAGAGGGGGCATTTGGCCATCTCCCTTTGGTTACAAAACACAAGTGGATGGAAATCAAATTATGTTCTTTTTTACGAGTCTTACCTCAGAAACTTAAACACTACCGAAAGTGGCTCTGTGGTCGAATGTTGGAGCTACCTAGCCCACATGATGTGTGTATGTGATATTGTATTCTTAGGTAATAGAATCCATTTCAATTAGCATTTTGTATTCGTAGTGGATATTTTGCCGTGACTGGCTAAGTTCCTACTAACGATATTTTACTGTGAGTGCACTTCTACTTAATATTGGAAGAACAAATACGTATAATGTATACAGCCTTAACAACATCAACCTAGAGAAGTCGACTTGTGAAAGAGACCTAGGGGTACTTGTAAGCCCGGACCTACGGCCTAGAAAACAGTGCGTTAATGTTCGAAATAAGGCAAACAGAGTATTGGGTTTTATATCTAGAAGTGTAAGTAACAAGAGTGCAGAGGTCTTATTGCAACTATATCTTGCGCTAGTCAGGCCGCACCTCGATTATGCGGTTCAGTTCTGGTGCCCCTATTATAGAATGGATATAAATTCACTAGAGTCGGTGCAGCGAAGAATGACAAAATGATTCAGGGACTTAGAAACCTTCCATATCAGGATAGGTTAAAGAAACTTAACTTGCATTCCCTAGAAAGACGAAGAGTGCGGGGAGATATGATAGAAGTATTTAAGTGGGTGAAAGGAATCAATAAAGGGATATAGATAAAGTTCTTATAATATCCGAGCAGGATAGGACTCGGAGCAACGGATTCAAGTTGGATAAGTTTAGGTTTAGGAGGGAGATAGGAAGAAACTGGTTCACAAATAGGGTGGTGGACGAGTGGAACAAGCTTAGCAACTTTGTAGTAAGTGCGGGAACTCTGGAAAGTTTCAAAAGGAGGCTAGATAGATTCATGGATGATAGAGAGTGGTAGTAACTCTCGACAGGAGCTGCCATGCACAGGCCAACCGGCCTATTGCAGACTCCTTATTTTCTTATGTTCTTATTGGCTAAGAGGTTAGGTAAGGTTGGATAGGTTTCCTTGGTTGGTTAGGTCAGGTTCTATTAGGTCCTAGTAAATGTTGCCTCATTTGGTAATTATATAGGACTAACCCGCGAGCGAAATTGATTGAAAACAATTATGAAAACGCCGGATTTTCATTGTTGAATTATAGTAGACATTGTTGTAGTTTGTGGAAATATGTTAAAAAATGGATATTTTTAAAATAAAAGCTACATAACATTTGTGGCTATGAAAAACAGACCTAACCAACCAAACCAAACAAACCTACCTAACCTGACCTAACTTCCCCAGTATATTAAACAGTATGCATAATAGTCAGTTGAAAATATGGTTTGACCCCAAAAAAATTCCTACAAAAGGTTTCTCAACTGTTTATTGTAGTATCAGGTGTACTTAATAACATATCAAAAGTCTACAACAGTCTGACCACGAGAAAGGTCTAATTTACAAGATGGCGTCGAAGTTAGCCACCAGATCCTTAAAATGCCCGTTACTCCTTCATTATTCATCCTAGACAAGTAATTTCGTTGTCTAACCCCATGTTTTGGGGATCTAGGAATCCAGTTAGCATATTTAAAATAATAGTGAAGTGATTACAGAATTACAAAATCCAAGATCCGACACAACCAGGTGACTGAGACATCTGTCCACCAGCAAATGTCCACGGAAAGCTCTTTGCACTGATTTTCCAGTCATCATATGCTGGATGGCATTTCCACCATAGATAACTTCCATAATGCTCCTGAGGCCTGTGCCTTCCATCAGTGTGCCTATTGCACCAAGAAGGTTCATGAATGTGTGAAAACATCCAAGCATCAAGACAGTGCTTTTCAAGTGGCTACTCTGTGGTGCATCCATGATGATCTCTGCAGCTTTCCAATACAGGGGCTGATCAAACGTAATAATGGCCGGAGCATGGTGTTTGGTAGCGAGATCACAAACGAAATCAAGCGTGGACAGAATGCATGTCTTGTCCCCAGAGTACAAGTCAATCATAGGCAAAAATGCAATTGATGATTGGTCTGGATGCTCTAATCCTTGATGAATGATATGCATCATTCCCTGCCACCCAGGGGTTTCCTGCTTGAAGTTTAGTGAAAGCTCTCACAGTACATCAATTATCTTATCACTGCTGACCAATGCCTGGAGTTGTTCAAACATGATGGTTTGGCGCACATGTTTAGCGAAGCGATGTTCAATGATTGGAATTTTACTTTTCACTGAAAAATCAAGGTTGGTAACGTTTCTCCTTGGAATGACATGATTCTTCTTTCGCCCTGGGGTAAGTGCTGCTATGATCCCCATTCCGTGGAAGGTCCCCCTGCCATCAATAGTAAGGATATTGTGGTCAACATTATCCCCGGCACAAAGAAATGTCATGTCTAGCAAATCAATGTCATCCACTAACAAATCTGGAGCAACTGAATCCACTGCATTCTTTTCAAAACGCATGACTTCTTTATAAGAAGAACTAAATCCCATTTCATGAAGGGTATCCACCAGGAACTGTGACTGATACATATGATGTACCTGCACTGCAAGGCCAACTTGTAAGGGAGCTACAACAGCATGTGGTCGAACTGCCTTGACAATTGCATGTCCTATTCCTGCAATCTTTCGTCTTGTCTCCTTTCCCACGAAAAGACCATTCAACAGCATCTACAGAGTGTCTGGAACAAACGAAAGGGCAGAATCAAGCTTGAGTGACTTTGCACTTGGATACTGATCTGTAACGGATGGCACATTAGATTTGATATCACTTTTAATGAGTCGTGTCGCTGTTTCAATGATTGCCTGTTTCTGTGATTCTTCGTTCTTTGCTTGGATGTTGAAATAAGATCTCATTATCTGTGATGTCTTTTCCCTCATTGTCACTATGTCATAAAGGCCTTCCCCTTCAGCAAAATGAAAATTGTCCCCATACTGTTCTTTCAATTTTCTTTTGAGGTATTGATTTCCATATGGTTCAGAATGTGTATTTATCAGAAATTCCTTAATTTTTTCTCGTAAATGTGAAATTGTCAATTGTTCTTCAACATTATTCTCAAGGTAAGAGCAAACGTTCATGAATGCCTGCTCCTGTTCTGCGCTTTGCCTCTGGGACATTCTGGAACTGTAGTGGTATGCTAAGCCCAGACCGGAAATTACCACTGCAAGAGCGATGGTAAATACAGTCTGCAGCATGTAGATCACAGCCATAATATTCAATCCTGCCTTTCACAGTGAAGGCCCAATCATCTGAACGACTGTCACAACACTCAAGAATGGTCTGCACAAACGTATCGGTCTTTACATAACTAAAGCAAGCACACTCGCACTGTTGATTCCATCAGCTCCCTTCTGACGAAGTTCAACCACATTAGAAACATCTAAGTCTTCACGGCAAATGGGGCAAGTCTCATGGTCAGGCCTGAAAAGATACGAAAATGAAGGTCATTAGTAAATAAAGTCAGTTAATAAATAATGTAAATAAACAGTCAACACAAAGCAAATTGTATCTTGGATTTCACAATTATGTAATCATGTCGGTTTTTTAACAAGCCAAACAGATTCCTAGGCCACCAAAACATGGGGTTAGACATCAAAATTACTTCTCTAGAATGAATAATGAAGGAGTACAGGCATTTTTAGGATTTGGTGGCTATTCGACGCCATCTTGAAAATTAGACCTTTCTTGTGGTCAGACTGTGGTAGACTTTTGATATGTTATTAAGCACACCTGATACTATAATTAACAGTTGAGAAACCTTTTGTAGGAATTTTTTTTAGGGTAAGGTGGGTTTTTTTCATAAATGCAGCCGCCTATAAATTGATATCTTTTGAGAAGCCAATTCTTTGTTTCATGTTTGTTTATGATCTTTTTCTCTTTTCCTGGACAAAGGCAAAACACACAAGCCCAAAAAATTTGATTCATTGTCAATGAGTGGGAGACACCTTGTCTTGTCCCTGCTGAATTCAAAATGGATATGAGTCAGTAAGGTCTGTTGGGTTGAATAGTGTGTGTGAACACTCAGTTGGCACAAACTGGAATGCCACAGTCTGACTTACAGGCTGAACTGAGTGTGTGTGGTTCCTTTTAATTATGAATGAACAATTACATAGGGACATTTCATTTTATGACAGACAGGGGAGAAAGAGTTTCCTAGTTTCCCTTTCTCTCTCATATTTGGGGTTTTAAATTAGTATGTATTGAGAGGGCTGGAGAAATAATCCCATTTATGGCCAAACATGGTTTAGAATGTGCAAGTCTTTGTTAAGGGTTTCAATCCTTGACCTTTTAGCCTCACTGGTCTGGGGACAACCACTGAATCAGCTGGAGTTGAAACAATGATTGAACCCTAATTCAATTGGATAAGGAGCTACATGCAGCTAAAACTGTCTGCTTGGATAATTTATCTTGTAGCTAATCATGTCAAAGCTCTCTTGAAGACATGGACTCTGCCAATGGATGTTTTATTGGTATAAATTTCTCAAGGCATCTGTTTCTACTCCTTAATCATAAATTATGATTTCTTATTTCATTTCTTCAGTTTTCTCTATTTGTATGTGTGTTATTGATCTGTTTATGTCAGATCTATGTATTATGTATTTTTTAATTAAACAAGAATTATTATTTCAGGTACCGTCTGTGAGCCTATCAAACGTAAACATGTCTGGCAATCCCCTGACATGCCATGTGTTAAATACTGCTACAGGAAAGCCAGCAGCCAATATGAAGATTACTCTCCACTGTTTATATGATGGTAACTGGCAGAAAGTGGCAGACAAGTAAGTAAAAAGGCTGCCTCATATATTCTAAAAAGAGAACTTGAAATAACATTAAGCCTTTCTAATTTTGTTATTTGTTAGCTTTGCTGTATACAGTGGTCCCTCGGTTAACAAGCACAATCCGTTCCAGCAGGTTGCTCATTAACCGAAAAACTCGTTAACCGAAACCATTGTTGCAATGGGTTTTTGGGTAATTGGTTCCAGCTCACCGAAAATTGCCTAAATTCAACAAAACCGGTAGAAAAGTACACTTACTTTGAGGTGTGTATGTAGAAGGCTCCTGGATGATGATGATGATGATGGGAATTAGAATGGGGGTGGAGGAGAAGGAAGAAGAGTAGGCATTGGGGTGGAAGAGAAGTCACCCCATGGCACCATTTCACCCATAAAATTTTAGTTCTCTTGGTGTATTTCAACACTGCACTGCATTATATATTGTTAATATGTAAAATATATTTCAAAATGACCAATAATTTGCTTGGAAACACAGAAAAAAGGGTTTAGTTAAAGAGAGTCTCAAGCAAGATGTTACCGCCACTGAAAACAGAGAGAGAGACTAACGCCTGTCTGGTGTGTTAACAGGCTGGATGGCACGCCAGAAACTAGTTTCTTTACCTTCAATTATATTCAGTAATTGTTAAAATGACTAAAAAAGTTAATATTAAACTTTTAAAATTGTTGAATAGTATAAACTTTTTGATATTTACTAAAATAGTATGGAATTTAAGCCCTAAAACCAGTTACAGTGGGGTATGCTATAACGAACGGATCCTACTATGAATATTCCTATAACGAACGGTTTTACCTATAAAATTGAGATTGCTATAACGAACGAAACTCCTACAATGAACATTATTTAGAAAAAAAAAATCTTTTTTTTTTCTTTTTTTTTACTAATTTATTGTTTTTTTATTACAAGTATTAATGATGTTCTTTATTTCAGGGGTTTAGATGCTTATTTATGCACTTTTTTACAATTTTTACAATTTTATATTATATTTTTCAGTGTTAAGTGGTTGTATTTGGGGGCCTGGAACGAATTAATCCTATAACGAACGAATGCTATAACGAACAAGGTTCTAGAACCAATTAGATTCGTTGTAGCATACCCCACTGTACTGTATTGGCGGACTAATACTACAGCTGGTGGACCGCCAAATGCAAGCGAAAACACGTTGAAGTCGGCTCGTAAAAAACTCGTTAATCGAGGGATTGCTCGTTAACCGAAGTTAAGAATCTTATGGAAGGTAAATCGTTAACCGAAATCTCATTAACCGAGGGACCACTGTATAGTAATAATCATAAATATAGGTTGTACCTCTAGTCCGGCAACCTCGGGACCTGACCGGTGCCGGACCATGGAAATTGCTGGCCCATGGAAATTCACCCTTTTCCTGGATAGATAGTGACTTGTGCTTATGCCTGGAATCACTAGCACCACTTTCTTTGCATCATGGTCTCTTTGAAGACATATTGAAGGGTTAAATGTCGTATAGTAGCTTCTCAAATTTCGCGAGTTTTTAATTCTTAACGTATTTTATTAGAACACAAAAAATAAATAAATAAAATTTTGACGGCAGAAATTTGAATTTCGACGGGTTTGAACGGCCCGCCAACGTGCAGACGACTTGCATAATCGTGTAAATAGCGTCATTTCTCTTATGTATAAAAGATTCATTATTGTTTATTACTGAATGTCTTTTTTATTGAATTAATGTTTATGTGTGCAAAATGAGCAATACAATTCATTAATAATACATAGAATATTAAAACACACGAGGAAATGACACAGCATTGTTTTCGTCGATTACAAAACCAGTGACTGACAGGTTCTACATATTAAACTGAAGAAAATAAGACCTTGGTTGTAGCTGTAGTAAAATTAATATGGTTGTTTTAAGTACAGTAATGTTATTTAATATTAATAAATGGAACAATAGAAGTAGCTAACGATAATGGTAAAGAAAAAAGAGAGATCGAGTATGTAAGTGCGCATGCGCACACGTGAAAACATATCGTCATTACTTTACATAAGAATATGAAAGCAACACTTATTTACTGTTCATATATATTTTAATTAATCTTTCTGAATTTGCTTTTATTGAATTAATGTTTGTGTGTGCAAAATTAACAATACAATTTATTAACAATACGTGGAATATTAGAGGAGACGAGACGGCTGCTGGCATTGTTTATGTTAAAGCTTACAAAACCAGTGACTGATTGGTTCTACATATAAAACTGAAGAAAATAAGACCCTGATTTTAGCTGTAGTAAAATTAATGTAAAAAAATTAATATGGTTGTTTGAAGTATCTGTAATGTTACTTAATGTTAATAAATGGAACAATATAAGTAGCTAACCATTAATGGTGAAAAAAAAGTGAGACTGCGCGTATGTAAGTGCGCACATGTGAAAACATATCGTCAGTGCTCTACATAAGAATATGAAAGCAACACTTATTTACTGCTCATATATATTGAAGGGTTAAATGTTGTACTCTGTATAGACAAGCAGAGAGAGAGAGAGAGAGAGCAGCCGAACTGCCGGATGTAAACAAACCTTAATTTCCCGCGGCTTTGTTTTTTTTTTTAAGGGGATTAGCCCACCCGGGCATAGGTCACTGACCCACATTGGGGCCTGAGGGGCAAAAATTTAATACTCCTGTAATAATAATAATAATAATGATAATTCAGATAAGTAAAAAAAAAAAAAAAAGCTGCTTATTTCCCTATTGGACAAACTAAAATCGTTCCGGACCACGGGAGTTTCCGGACCACAGAATGCCGGACTAGAGAGGTACAACCTGTATTGTAATTGATATTTAAACAACTTGACCAAGGATAGCTAACAAGGCCATGAGATGCTTATTCCCAGTAGGGTACTTTAGTTTAAATGCCAACAGCCTCTGGTGTTTCCATGCAGTCACCCATCCAAGTAACCAAACCCAACTTGGCTCTGCTTGGCTGATTGTATGAAATGTATTGTTTTCAGTGTAATACTGTATGCTCCTCCCAGTTTTGTATGAAATGGGTCACAGGGTACAGAAAGTTATGAGCAGGTGGAATTAATAGGGAGCATAGTTTGAACAATTGTGAAGAGACAGAAAGTGGCTGTAAACTACTCAGTCATTTCCTCAATTTTCATGTGAAGTATAAAAATGGAATCTGTTCATCCATATTATTTCATCTGTTTGTTGTTTATTTATCAATGTTCTCTCATTAGTGGCACATTCTTTTGCAAGCAGCTAAAGATGGGCAACTAAGTAGGTACAGGAAGTAAAATTGCTGGATACACTGCAATTTTTTTTTGTATTTTTGCTTCATATTATGCAAACACACATTCATTTTTGTTTTCGTAGGATCAAAATAGATTCCCCAAGCAGAAGATTCAAACCTTTGTCTTTGGTGTTTGATACTTAAATGTTTAAAACTGTATGGTTGCTGAGGCATTTGGTTAATTTTCTGCATGATTTTAGTGGGAATAGATGCCATTAAAGAGCTTGTTCAGTGGAGATAAAGACATTTGTATGATCAGTACTGTACATTACTGTTTAGTGACACTCCTGTGTAGCTGTTCACAAGAGTTTATTATTTCCAGAGTTACAAACAGTGATGGCCGTACCGGACAGTTTCTTACACAAGAAGCCTTCACCCAAGGAACCTATAAGATGTTCTTTGATACTGGAGATTATTTCAAGCAGTTAGGAACCAGTGGATTTTACCCTTATGTTGAAGTAAGTTTAGTTCTTTATTAATCACTTATTATAGTTGAAGATGTAGGTTGTTTATGCCCATAATGCATGTTCTTTTTCTTTTCCCTCTATTGAAAATTATCTATGCATTTTGTAGGTACAACATCATGTCAGGCTACATATTTTTTTAATAATATTTTGGAGTTGTGATTTCAAATTTATTATGGTGAATGATGTTTCTATTAACATGACATAATCTTGATGATCATAAACTTTTTTGTCAAGATTATAGATGTTGTTTGGACTGTGTCAATTTTGTGGTAGAAAGTTTAGTACTGTAGTTATGTTTGAGCCCTGCGATGACTATTTAACCCAGTTAAGATGTACAGGTCAAAGCCCTCGAAACCAGAGATTCTTGAAACCGGACGTTTTCTTCCCAGAATAAGTTATGATATTTTCTTTATATTCTTATGTAAGAAGTAAAACGAACATTCAAATGAATTTGTGTGAGTCAGTAGAAGCAAAACATGATGTCCTTGGGTAGCATGGATGACCCAGGACACAGGAAACTGGAAAATCCTCAAAACCAACTTATTCTTGGTCCCAAGGGCCCTGGATTTGAGGGCCTATACCTTTACAGTTGTAGTAAATGTCTTTCAGCAATGAAAGGGTGTGTGAGTGGCCTGATATGCCATTAGGGGTAGTATGGACACAGCACAGTGTAGAATGAGCCTTTTATTTGGTACACAAGTAGGTAATGTGGCCAACACTGCACTTGACTGACTCACTTCACCAATATTCTCATTACAGTAGTCAGCTGCCCTCTTAGCTTTGAACAGGGTTTCCTATCTTTCAGTGTCACATTACACATCCACCTCACCATTCTCATTTCATCTCACTCAAGCTTGCATATGTCCTCTGACCTACCCATGTTTCACTGCCACACATTACACCAGTTGCCTCGATCTTTTATTTCCATAGTTGGCAGCTTCACAGGTAAAGTGTGGTGGCCTTTAATTATTATTTTGTCCATCAGTGTATCTGTTTACCATAAAGTGGGAATGTCAAACATAAGTTTCTTGTTTTTCTTGCAGATTGTGTTCATTATTGAGAAGCCTGAAGAGCATTACCACATACCTCTCCTCCTTAGTCCTTATGGTTATACTACTTATCGTGGCAGCTAGGTACAGTATGTCGGTAACCAGAAACTAGTTCTTCACTACTAAATGACTTCTGGTAAATCATAATCACTTGATTGAATTTTGAATAACCATATCTTTGTAAAAAAATTAATTGTACTCTATTAGAACTCACAGCTTTGACACTAGAGTACTGAAAGAATGAGAAACTTCATATTTTACTGAGAAAAAGATTCTGTTGATTATTCAGCTCTTGTTTCACAAACATAAATCATCTGGCTTATGTTTTTCTTTATGAACAAACTTTAGCTTCTAAGTTTGCTTGTTGGTTTATTGCCAGTTTGTTATCACTCAGTGATAGTTTGCTTATACTATAATAATTACCCAAATTTTCAGACTTTCTCCATATTACTGAAGTTTTTGAAGTGTTTTTTTTTATATCTTTATTTTAATATGACGTACAGAATCTCTTGTAGTGTTTTTGAGATAAAATATGAACTAAAATGTATTGAATTACAGTAGTTATTAGGATACTGGGACTTATTACCTGAATATTGTCTTTCTGGTAGCCAGTTACATTCCTTATGTGGAAAGTGATCAACCTGACAGTGTAATGTATAGGTTTGGTTCAAGAGAAATAGCTTATAATTAGTTTAAATGAGCTTTAGGGTTCCTGGCACACTAATGTTTTAGTGATGGGTGTTAGTTCAGAGTACTGGTAACCAGTCAGAGAAGTAGACAGCAATACACTACATTTTGATGATAGTTGGCATTGAATTGTCCGATATTATTGTATACTAAATACCATAGAACTTAGAGTTCAGAAATGAAGGGTGACTTATTACTGTGTGGCATATTGTTACAAGAGGCCTTACCAAGGATTACTATTTATGTATTTGTACCTTAAAAAATTGGTTCTTAATTAAGAAAAAATCTATACAGTACTGTATATTTATCATTAAATGTGACTGGTTGAGTTAACCAGTTCACCTGGGTTTTTAGGCTGAAACGCCTTTGTGGAGGGACAGGCAATAGTGCATGACCATTCACCAGGCCACCTGCACCTCCCTACTAAATTTCAACTGCATATCTTCAAGTCTTTCGACCCACAGGCGGGTGTCAGGTTATGACCCACCCCTCATGGAGGGACAGGAAATAATGCACAACCATCCCTTAGGCCACCCACACTTCCCAGCCAAATTTCAGCTCTCTATCTCCAAAACTGTTGAGCCATGGGTGAGTGGCTATGGTCAGCCCCTGGGGGGCAAGCTGCTCCTCATAAAGGGACAAGATATAGTACACAACCATTCCCTAGGCTAGCTGTCGCCTCCCTACCAAATTGTAGCTCTCAATCATCAAAACTGTGGAAATGCTTAAGGAATATACAAACACACAGCCAGTTGTATACATACAATGAACCCTCGAAGATCCGGACTAAAAGGGGGGACCACTTGTCCGAAAAAGACGATTATCCGAATCTTCCGGCGACTGTACAGTACTGTTATGAAAATCGCTATTCTTGAGAGGCTGGAAATTTTAAAAGTGACACGAAACATATGAATCACGAATCTAAAACTCGCTAAACTTGAGATACTACTATATATTGGCATATAATGAATACAGGATTATTATTTTTATATCCAAAAGTGTGTACAGGTTGTGATATTTGTAGTGTGAAGGAGTTTGAATGTGAGGAATGTGGGAAATGTTTCTCCCAGAAGGGTCATCTCAAGTCACACATTCTTGTACACAATGGTATAAGGGAGTTTGAATGTGAGGAATGTGGGAAATGTTTCTCCCAGAAGAGTACTCTTGAGAATCACATTCTTGTACACAATGGTATAAAGAAGTTTGAATGTGAGGAATGTGGGAAATATTTCTCCCAGAAGGGTCATCTCAAGACACACATTCTTGGACACAGTGGTATAAAGGAGTTTGCATGTGAGGAATGTGGGAAATATTTCTCCCGGAAGAGAACTCTCAAGACACACATTCTTGTACACAGTGGTATAAAGAAGTTTAAATGTGAGGAATGTGGGAAACATTTTGCATTAAAGGGTACTCTCAAGAGACACATTCTTGGACACAGTGGTATAAAAGAGTTTGAATGTGAGGAATGTGGAAAATGTTTCTCCCAGAAGAGTACTCTCAAACATCATAAACTTGTGCATGAAGAAAACAGAACTCAATAAATGTTTGAATGACTTTAACAGAAGGTAAATGTGACACATACACTTGAATACAGTGATATACATCAATATAAAACCACTTGAACAAACTCTATGAATGTAGCAGAAATAAAGACAAGTGACACTTTTATTGATATTAAACAAGTTATAATTATCTGCTCTTAAGATGTAAATTTCTTCTATCATGGCCTTAGTGTAGACATTTGGTGTTGGTTAAATATCACTCAAAATAATACTCCATTTTGTTTCATCAGCCTTTTTAATAATATTATTTACAGTACAGTAGTAAGCAAAGGTTAAACTTATCATTATGTCTTTACAATTTCATCTTTACTGGATAAGTTGTGTTGAACATTGATGAACTCTCATTTACTATAATTTGTGCACCAGTAGTTGTGTCAACTGTGTACGTCTGTCTTTATTTACACGTGACGTAAGTTTTATCACAATTACGTACCAGGGCTGACGGGATTTCCGACTCTTGTTTACCGAACACGCTGATTGGTTCAACTGCTCGCGTTGTGATTGGTTGCGAGAACATGACGTAATATTGCTATTTGCTATAATAGAATGTGTGGTGAGGGGTAATGAAGATCCCAGATACAGTAATTATATTAGAGTAGTCCTCATACTCAGTGAATTTCATTGTTCCTGTCATTAGTTTTATAAATTTCTGAATAATAAACACTGCATTATACACCATTCAGAGTATTATATGAGATCACATTAGATTTGTATTTTATCAATTGTAATTTGTATTACTTTAGTTCTGCTAAAATATCGCTAGTTAAATGTAGGTAAGGTATTTAAATAAATCTACAATTTATTTCTGTGTATTCTGTATGGTATTTTAGCCATGAAAAGGCATATTTCCTAAAGTCGGTAATTTACCGAGAGTTGGTGCAGTGACGTCACGGCTTACCAACACGTCATCAAGTTTAGGCGGTTTACCAAGTAGCAGACGAATTACCGGAGTTGAACCAATCAGCGTGTTCGATAAACAAGAGTCGGAAATCCCGACAGCCCTGGTACGTACATTAACACGGGTAGTAAATCATCTTGGTAAAGTAGTACAGTGGTGGTAGACCTTTTTTTATAGTCAAGGTGTTGTCATTACCTCACGGAAACTCTTCAATCTCTGTTGAAATTGTACGTAAATATTTGATAAGTTTTGCTCAACTCTGACGAGATATTTTGATATTTTATCTTGACTAAAATGGTTGGTAGTTTTGATTTATGTTTTAAATATATTCATTCATCACTTACAAATATATGGTACCATTGTTTAATAAATAATGGTTTGGGTTCATATATAGTACCTGGTGTTATGGGGCAGATGAACTTTAACACCTCTTAACTGTACTGTATATAATATTGTGTTTAATATATTGTTCAGTTTGCATCTTGTACCTTAGTTAGGTAACTCTTCTTGGTTATATATGAATTCATCCTTGGGCAGTCATTTTCTTAAAGTAGCCATTGCTGAAATGTCAAACTCTGGGTTAAAATTTGTTTTTTGATCATGTCAAGCAGAAGACTTGTCTAAATTAGCATACAGTATTTAGATATTTGCTGTTCTTATATACAACCTTTCCTAATAGTACTGGCATGTGTTTATCTAACAATTGTATTTAAAAAATGATTGCTACAAGAATGGCATTAATTTTGTGGACATGAATACTGTATAGAGTTTTATGTGAATACAGGCTGTCCCTAATTTATGACAGGGATAAGTTCCTGGACCCATAGTTTAGGTTAGGTTAAAGCCCATACAAAACAACAATAATATCCCATATATAACAAATAATGGAAATAAAGTGATGTTAAGCAATATATAAGGATAAAATAATGAAAAACAATGGGATTTTAATTTAAAAAATTTGCAGTGAATGTATTGGGATCCCGTTCATAAGTGCGGGTGATGGTAAGTCGGACAGTCGTAACTCGGAGACTGCCTGTATACACTTTATGTTTGGCCATGATGTACCCCAAACATAAATATCTTACTGAATGAGATATAAGTATTTAACTATTGCTGAATATTTTATGACAACTCCAATATTGTAGAATGTGTACAGTAATGGCTGGTCTTCAGATACTGTATGTGGATGTCTTAAATTAATATTGTTGTAACTGCCCTAAAATTCATTCGGAGTAAAGAAGCATTAAAATAATAGGTTTTTGTATTTATGGAATTTAATGGGCACAATGAGAAGATTCCATGGCTGGTTTATATTTTGAGTTGAGAGCCAAATGTTAGATTGGTCTGGACGACACCCGGGGAGGAGCCAAGGTAATATTTATGATAATTTACTGTTTTATGACCTTAATTATTGCTGGAAATGAGTCTAGATAGAATATTATTAAATAACATGATAGCAAGGGTTGAAGGTGACTGCTAATAACTCATAGAGACGAGTATTTTATATATAATTTTGGGTCACTAGTATATATTACAGTGTGTATACAGTAAAGTGGAGTCAGTATTTATTGTCGAGATCACTTTCCTGGTGACTGTTTTAGTGTTTGTTTGACCAAAATTCAACATTGTCTTTGTTATATATGAAGCTTTAACCCTGTACTGTACTGATCTATATTATACAGTACTGTACTGTATTTCAGTTGTAGCATTAATGAGGGACAACTGTTCTGTACTGATCCATATTATACTGTACTGTTCTGTTCTGATCCATATTATACTGTACTCTTCTGTACTGCACTTGGGGGTTAATATTCAGGTTCTATCTTCACACAGTCAAGGATGTAGTTTTGGAGTGTGTGACCATATGTCTGGCCACACACTTTACATTCAGTCTTGTTCACATCTGCCTGAGGGACATACTGCCAGAGTGTGGCCATATGTCTGGCCACACACTTTACATTTGGTCTTGTTCACATCTGCCTGAGGGACATACTGCCAGAGTGTGTGGCCATATGTCTGGCCACACACTACATATAGTGTTCTTCACATCTGCTTGAGGAACATACTGCCAGAGGTACTTATATTCTAACCTTAGTCTATCAGTTACAACATCTTATAATGTATTGATGTTGTTACTTGCTCCATATATATGTTTCACTTGATACACCTCATCATGGTAAACTATGGATTGACTAATGCCTGTTAGCACTCATCTGCTTGCATTCATAAGAACATTGAACAAAGAGGTACTTTAAGCTAAGGTTTC